GCAGGAACAGTTTTGGGAACTGAAGTCTGGGCTTCTGCCCTGGGGTCTTGCAGGAATGATGTGGGATATAGGAGCCAGGGAGGGACATGGCACAGAGCCACAAAAGCCCCTGGCATGCCTGGCAATTGGCACCAGAGACACCCACACCCACACAGAGTCACCCCTCGTTGTCCACAGCCACCACCAGCAAGGCAACGGTTTCCAGCCCCTCACACTGATATAAGATTGGTGCAGACTCTCATTACTTATGGAGAGCGCATTCTGCTGTACATCGGATGCATAGGGCCAGGTACTCACAGCCCAGCCTGGGTGGTTTAGACATGCAAGGCCATTCCAGGGGAAGGAGTGCTCTCTGATACCCTGAGGAGGGATACAGCCAGGATGGGACAGGGGAAAGAAAACATTTCTGAAGGAATTAGAATTAGCTGGTGTGACTGACACTACAACCTAGGCTAGGGCAGGACAGAAAAATAGGAATCACAATAGCGCAGCCCATTCCCTATCAATCCTCACTTATTCCAATTCCTCCTTCCCTTCTATTTCTGCAACATTTACTCACTTTCCCCATTCTCCTCTGTGACACTCTGAACTGAAGCCAGTTCCCTTCTCTGAGGACTCCCTTAGGTTATTAGCAAATTCACTTAGTCCTTTATCAGTCTCTGGCCACAACATGCTCCAGGATATATCCTTTCCTAGTGCAAATCAGCATTGCTCATGGCCCTGGCAACCCACTCCAGGCTACGTGCATTGAAAGTATGCACTCAGAGCACTTGAACAGCTGATAAAAAAGACAAGGTGCACTCAAGATCACCCACTTTTATAGACCAGGGAAATCAAAGCACCAAGTGCTCAGGCAACAGGTCACAGCCCAAAGGGAGCATGTGAGGATCACAGACTAACCCTCACCCTCAGCATGAGACAACACAATACCCCATAGTACAGGGATGCTTTGTGCAAGCTTCTCCTGCAGCAGAGCAGAAACACGTGGAACCAAATGCCCACGCAAAACAAGAGCTAGTGCTCAGGAGTAGTGACCGCTATGCTGTATTTGTTGGCAAGAGCCATTGCTTTTACATACCTAAGGCAACTGGTGAGCTTCCACCTTTTGCCTCCTCTCAGATCTGTGCTTGAAGATTTGGAAGTTGTTTTAGGCACTTTCTAAGAAATGACTTGACTATGTCTTGGGAGAGTGCTGTGGCTGATTTATCTGCCTCAACAACATCCTGCAGACATGCTAGTCAGAGGAGAGAAGAGTGTCCCTGCCATCTTCCCAGGCTTGGGCAGAGGGAACACTCTGCCAATAACACCAGTGAGACCTGACACTGCTCAGTTACTCTGTAGGATGCTAAAGCACATTACTAAAAGTCAGTCATTTTTACCACCACTGAACATAGCTGTAATAGACAATACATACATACATACATATATATATATGTTAAATATACACACATATATATAGGTTGAAGAGACAGAGAAAACTCCCAAACTACTGAAAAACATTAAGTAGACTCCAAAAATTACCTAAGAAATTGCCAATCCCTTCTAAAAAGTTGAAGACACTGTGAAATGCGTTACTTGTCCACACTCATCCCAGTTGGCCTTAACCCAGAGGTGCCCAAGGAGCCAGGCTTTTAAGATCTGCTTGCTAGATCACTCTAGGTCTGGCAGCATTTTGCCCTCAAGGTGCTCCGTGTGCCTTCATTGCTCTTCTGCCACAGGAAGCTGAGGAGGAACTATGGGAGGAAAGGTAATGGTCACCTTTGGTGAAAGAAGCAGAGAGCAGGAGGACAGCGCAGTTCCCCCTTCATTAAGTTATGCATACCCCAGTTTCAGCTTAGCTTCCACACTAGGGACACCAGATGGATGTGATGCCCGGGAGACAGGATGCAGGTGGCTCCAGAGGCAGTTTGAAGAGGAGTAAAGCTCAATCTAAATGTTGCATATGGCTGGGGAGAGGTTCCCCAGCATGCCCTTTAGCTCACAGCAGCATCATGCTACTTTACTCCACACAGACAAGAAATTCTCTCCACCAGATAATGGGTAACCAGGCACAGAAGGGGAATGAGGCCTCCAGGAGTGCAGGAAAAGGATCACTGACAACAGTCCCAGAGAGAGGAGAGAAATTAACTTCCCTAGAGCTCAACTCCCCAGGCTCCAACTCAGAGAGCAGCCAAAGCCCAGTTACAAGCTAAGCACCTCAGTGCTTATGCATGACACAGGAAACGTTACTTAAGCAGCCATGGAGAGGGGCAGGTATTTGTCCAGTCACAAACTTGTACCCAGCAAAAGCATCGCTCACACCATAAAATCCACCCTGGTGCGCTCAGCTTGCTTAGTGCTCCACCACATAAAGCAGCTACCAAAAATGCCCTGTCCAGCACCATTACAACTCTTGGAAGAAAAGTCATGAAGAATAAAAAGCAGGTCAAAGATTACAAAGTCTTAAAGTGGCACTGTCCTACAGAACAATATATCCTTCCTGGACACAGAGGGAAGATCCTCTGGGCTCTTCAAGCCCATTCTGTTTAAGCTACATGACCACTGACTGCAACACCCAGACTACAAACACACCAAGAAACAACACAGTCTAGCGACAACAAAGGCAACATGACAAGTGTTTAAATGAAAGTTACTCCCTTTCCAAGGGTTCACAGATGCTTATGCACATGCATGAATACAAAGAAAAATGGACTTCCAGGCCCACAGCAAACTCTTCTTCCAGAAAAACAAACAAATCCCTGTGTTCAGGCAGAAGCTGCTGAGGAAGGTGAGACACAGCCAGAATGCAAAAATGGTAGTCCAGCCAGCAGGCGCCCTGCTGCTAGCCACCTCCTCACTGTGTCTTTCCAATGAGATCAGGTGGGAAGGGGATGTGGAGAACAGGTGAGACAGATCTTATGCAGGGGACTTACCTTCCACAGTTGCAGTGACAAACTCGGTCTTCCCCCCTCAGATGCGGTAGAATGTAATTGTGAAATCGGTCCAACAACGCATTCATGTCCATCAAGCAAGCTATTGCCTGTAAGAGCCCATAACCAAGGCATCTGGTCAACTCTGGATGATGGAATAAAACATTGACTCTAGTTTGATTGCCAAAGACTGGAGCAGTCATAAAAAAAAAAATCTTTGGTGTTTAATGGTGCGCGCGCGCGCACACACACACACACATACACACACACACAGAGGTGCACAAGCTAAGGGACAGCCGGGGTGGGGGTGGGGTGAGGAGGGAAATAAGCAAAATCTCTTACCATAACGATAGAGGCGCCCAGGATCATGAAAATCATGGTGTTTGCATTCATGGACATCAATGGGGAATTGCCAGCGGTCGGGTCCGTCCGCCCCCAGCCCGCGGACAGCGAGCGGCGGCCGCGCTATTCCGCAGAGCTCAACC